CAAAAAGTTATTCCAGAGGTGTTAAATGCCACCATGACCCTTGGGAAGAACGCTGGGGCAGCTCATTGAATTGAAAGAGTAACTGGCCCTGGCCGGTTTGGCTCAGCGGTTAGAGCGTCGACCTGCGGTCCTGAGAGACCCGGGTTCGGTTCCCGCTAAGGGCGCGTACCTCGGTTGCAGTTTGTCCCCGGCCCTGGTCAGTCGTGCGAGTGGCAGCCACTCGATGTGTTCCTTTCACATCGATGTTTCTCTCTCTCTCTCTGTTCCTCTCTCTCCCTTCCACTCTACCTGAACAAAAAAATGGGAAAATGTCCTCTGGTGAGGATAAAAAAAATAAAATAAAAAAAGAAAGAGTAACTGAACCCAGAGAGTGTGGCTCAGTGGTTGAGCTTTGCCCCATGGACTGAGAGGTCCCGGTTCTATTGCCAGTCAGGGCACATACCGGATTGCGGGCTCAATCCCCAGTGGGGGGCATGCAGGAGGCAGCCAGTCGATGTTTCTCTCACACATCAGTATTTCTATTTCTCCTTTCCTCTCTCAAAAAAAAAATCAACAAAAATATGTTTTTTTTTAAAAAAAAAAAGACTAGCCACGTCTCTACGCCTTGAGTGGGAGACAGGAAACACAGTAGCTCCAAGGACTTCAGTGCAAGAGTTCATAGACTGCTTCCCATGGGATGCTGCTCCAACAACCATCTATATGTTTCTCTGGTCCAAATTTCATCTCTCTCAGAGAGATTATGAATGGCTAGTTGTGGTCAGATGGCCATCAGGGTAGATTAGTTTCCGTTAGTGGGGTGGTGGCAGGCTCATGTATGATTACTGGTGACCATTAGGGGGAATTATGGGTTGGTTTACCAGAATCCAAGTCATTGGCCGGTTTTCAGAATGATCACATTACCAAATTTATTCGTCTCTCTTAATTATATATCTTTAATTGCCTGACTTTTGTTTTGTCTCCACAACAATATTTTGGGGAATGTTAACTCTTGTCTAGTCAGCTTCCTGCTGTTGAGCTGGAGACAGAAATGTAGAAGAAGGGAAGATTGAGTACGTATGTCTGGCCTTGGGGTCATGTAAACTCCCAGGCCCCAACCTTGACAAAATGCTCAGGGGAATGTTGAGAAGCTCAACATCTCACTCCTTTGATGGCAAAGCCATCTGTAAGCAGGGACGGATAACAGCTGGTGGCAAAGAGCCGGTGGTCTCAAGAACACCATTTGGGCCCTGGCCAGTTTGGCTCAGCGGTTAGAGCGTCGGCCTGCGGTCCGGAGAGACCCGGGTTCGGTTCCCGCTAAGGGCACGTACCTCGGTTGCAGTTTGTCCCCGGCCCTGGTTGGTTGTGTGGGTGGCAGCCACTCGATGTGTCCCTTTCGCATCGATGTTTCTCACTCTCTCTCCCACTCTCTCTCCCTTCCTCTCTCTCCCTCCCACTCTATCTGTATAAAAAAAAAAAAAAGAACACCATTTGGTTGATCTGTGTTTTGGGCAGGCCATTTTCTCTTTCTTGAAGTCTGAACTCATTGCATGGGCCTGCCTGACCTTCCTAAAGGGCATCGTTGTCCCCTTCCACACAGTGACATTCAGGTCCTTTGTTCTCAAAGCACAGTTTACACAGACCAGGGGCACACCCCAAATATTTATACAGGTAGAGTTGGGCTTGACTGCACGCCAAGGGTGGCCCCGGGGAGAAAAGAAGGGCTGGGGCAGCGGAAGGCAGGCGTGTGGAAGGACTGAGTTTTTTCCTCATAAATGATGGCAGAGGCAGGGGTAGGGAGCGGGCCCAGCAAACCTTGTTCTCCATAGCTCCAAGCATCCTATAGCTCTAAAACCTTTCAACCCCTTTCCTCTTTTCCACAGACTTTGTTTAGATCTAGGCCGGGGAATAAAGATGGGGGTCAGAAAACCCCAAATGGCACACCTGGGCATCCCACTGGGATTCCTCTTGGCTGCCATGACAGTCCCAGCAGTCTGTGTCACACTGCCAGGAAGAGGTGTCTAGGTTCAGACTCCTCAATCCTGAGCTTAGCCCCAAACATCACTGGGTTGGCCTCTCCAACACCCTTTGTTCCGCTTTTCCAGGGAGGAGGCTGTTCTCACCCACTTGTCTTGCCTGCCTCTTCGTCATACACCTTTATTGTTTATCTTGTTACTTCCTTTGCTCCTCTTCCTAAAGGCTCATTCCTTGGGACTTCTTTTTTTTATCCTCACCTGAGGACACCTTTCCATTTTTTTGTTCAGATAGAGTGGGAGGGAGAGAGAGGAAGACAGAGAGAAACATCGATGTGAAAGGGACACATCGAGTGGCTGCCACCCGCATGACCAACCAGGGCCGGGGACAAACTGCAACCGAGGTACGTGCCCTTAGCGGGAACCGAACCCGAGTCTCTCCCGACCATAGGCCGACGCTCTAACCGCTGAACCAAACCGGCCAGGGCGGGACTTCTGATGTAACCTTGACCCAGCTTCCCAGAACTGCCCAACACCAGGAAGATCTGGACCACAGCCCAGCTCTACTTACAAAGGGGAGAGTTTGAAGATAGTGGCTAAGTCGGCAGGAGGGGGAGAGGCCCCAGGGATGATGGCAGACCTGACAGCGCCCTTGGCGTCACCTCCCATCAGTCGCCTGGTTCCCCTCATTGCTGCCCTCCAGGGACAGGTGGACTCACTTGGCTGGATGTGGAAAGCAGAAATAATGGTGAGGATGATTATGAAGAGAAAGAGGACAGCCAGGGAGATCTTTGACCTCTCAGTGGGGTAGTTCAGCCTCAGGGGAGGACAGAATGGATGTCCTTGCTGCTAGTTGTTCCCTCTCTGACCTCTTAGCGCTCGGGACTCTGACCACTTTAGAGCAGGTGGAGGAGAAACAACGGGCCTCCTGCAGTGCGCGGACAGGGAGGGCGGTGGGGGCGGGGCCTGGTGCCAAATTGAATTCAGTAAGATTTGAATTCGTGTGAAGGCAAGAACAGAAAGGAAGTATGTGGCGGACCATGCATATCTTACTTTACTTAATCCTCAGAGCTGTGAAGTATAAATCATGAACCCCATTTGACAAGTGAGGCGTTGCGGCTTAGAGAGGTTAAGTAAATGTCCAAGGTCACGTGGGTAGGAGGCAGCTGGGCAGTACTGAAAACCAGACCCATGTGATCCCACCATGTCACCTGCCAACATCTGTATGTGGGGGGAGACGGAGGGAGGGCTGAAGTGCCCCCTTCCCCCGGTGGTGGTCTTTGGGAGGATTAGAGTAAACACAGACCGAGGCAAGAGTAGGGTTTAGTGGTCTCAAAATGACCTCCCCCCATCTGCTGTCCAAGGACACATGATTGAACTTGCTCTTCATGTCACAGATTATGCTACTAATACTCCAAAAAGACAATGTGCCTGGCCCTTGGGTTTTCATTTTTTTTACTGAGGTGTTGGCTAACTTGTCGATATTTTCATTTATCCCTTTGGACCTTGGACTCTAAACCAGCTTTAGGTTTTAGTTGCTAATCCCCCCTGAGTGCCTCTAGTATGGGTTTATCCAATCCGCCACCATAGCCAAACATGGCCAGTAGAGGGCGCTCTAACACAGTGAGCCCGACACCCCGAGTTCCAGCTTCTGCCCTTTGGCTTTGGCTAAGGCTGGACCTGCCCCTCAGCATCCTCTCTTCAGACTGCCGCAGGACCCGGTCCCAGGTGGAGGGCAGCATTCAGAGAAGAGATGGAACGCATAGGGGATTTTGCTGCTGATGAGCATTAGAGGCATGGAGCGGGAGTGTTTCAGGAGACGAGAGTAGTGGGCGGCAAGGGCAGAACAGGGAATATGCAGATCCTCCTGGGCTTGCTGTTTGGCGTGACTGCTCATAAGCAGGGAAAAACGTACAATGCAATTCATCCTGGTGGGTTCGAGGCAGGTAGTGAAGGTGTGGCTTTTTAGGAGGGTAAGGAGTGTACGTATATGGGGCACCCTTGCCCTCTGTTTGTGGAGGCAAGAAGGTCTGAGGAAACCTGGTTGTATCTTTGCCATGCAGTCCACCGCCTGGCCCTCGTCTCTGGAGGGCTGGAGGCCAGGGGAGAGTGGCTATGGTTCCTCCACTGGGCATGCCCCTACTCCCAGTACTAGAGCTCCTCCTTGAACCCTGAACATGGGTCTGAGAGCCTCTGCGGGCAGCTGGATGTCATTCTTGGAGCATAAGTCTGCTCTTTCTTCCATCCATCCATCCATCCATCCATCCATCCACCCACCCACCCACCCACCCACCCATCCACTCATCCATCCATTTCCCGAGTATGTGGTACGGACTAGGCTTTCTGGAGGACACAAAACCGAGTAAAACAATGTAGTACAACCTGATACATGTAAGCGGATGAGGAAGAGCTGGATAAAATATGTCCAGGAACCATTCCTATCCCAGAAGGCAGTGAATAAAGGCCTTGGGAGCAGCAAAGAAAAAGGACTGTGGCGTTGTACTGCTACGGAGAGGCCTTTATGAAGATTTACTGCAAACCAGGTGATAATTCGTAGCTTTACACTTGTAAAACCGAAATAAGATAATGCACCTGGAAGGCACTAAAAAAATGGCATCTGTTCTTATTGTGGTTATTTATTGTGCAAAGGTGGTCTTTACACTGAGTGTCTTTATCACTTTCTGCTCAGTGTCCCACCACCCACCTTGCAGGCCTGACACTTTTTTTTTTTTTTTTGCACCAGATTCTGGCCAAACTTTCACAGAGCGAGGTTTGATGCTGAAGGCGCCACCCTAGGCTGGGCTCCCCAGTGTCTCAGTGCTAATGGGTAAACTCAGCAGAAATGAATGAGGGCAGGAGGGCATTACTGATTTTTATTTATTTACTTTTATTTTTAATTTGTTTTTATTGATTTTTTAAAGACAGAGGAAGGGAGAGAGAGATAGAAACATCAATGTGAGAAACATTTGATCGGCTGCCTCCTGCACCCCCCCTACTGGGGATTGAGCCCTCAACCAGGCATCAAACCAGTACCTCTCAGTCCATGGGAAGATGCTCAAACCACTGAGTCACATTGTGGGGGTTGGAGGGCATGAATGATCTTTAATTCAAGGCAGGGCAGCTCCCAGGGGGTGGCTGGGGCTGAGAATTGGGAGCGGGGGTGGGGAGGGGACCCTGGCCTATTCTCTGTAAGATTCCGAGCTGCAGCCTTCCCCACTGCTTCTGGGTCGCTCAGGTCTACTCCAGCTCCTTGATGTAGTCCTGGACCCAGTCATCACTGGGGTTGGCACAGATGGGGTAGCCCTTCTGGGTGATGAAGCTATGGAGCAAGAGGGAGAGGTTAGGAACCGAGGGTCAGCAGCTGGGAGAGAGCATGTTCTTCCTCCCCACAAGTCCCTCACCTGACCTGGACTGGTTCTCCTTCCTTTGTTAGAGGCAGCCCAAGCCAGTGTCCTTTCTGAGACACACTTGTCAGTCTCTCAGGGCCCCTAAACCCATCTAGTCTCCCTGCCCCACCCAGGAGGTACCCTTCCTCCTTCTCTTCCCTTCCCCTGATTCCTCTTCATCCATGGGGCCAGGTCCCTCCTGGCTCCCAGCCGGCTCCCAGGATGTCCCTCAGCTTCCTCTTTCCATGTCAACACACCCCAGAAGCACCCTGAGAGTCCCCATTCCACATCCTCCCTGCCCCCCTTGCCTCTGGCCCTGCTGGCTCCCTCTCTCCAGTGTGGTGTGTGGGTGCCACCTACACAATTCCAGGCTTGGAGCACAGGCTGCTGGTCTCATAATAATCTGTGATCCGTTGCCGCCGGATGGTGTGGGTAGCGTAGGTGAAGCAGCACTCCGTGGGGTGGTAAGGTCCTCCTGAGGGGAAGGCATGGAGGGAAGCTGAGATTGGGTCCCCTGTTCAAAGTGATACCCGAAAGGAGGAAGAGGGAGGGGAGGAGGAGAAAGCCCTGCAGAATTTGGAGACAGGGCTGTGGAGGGACTTGGTCCTCTAGCTCCCTCTCCTTATTGTTCCTCTGACTCCCCTTCTCCTCCTCTTCCACCAGCAATCACCCTGCTTCCTGTTCTTCACCCTCCTAGAAAGACTGGCACTTTCGGCTCGGGGTTGAAGAGCGCAAAGCCCGGGGCGGTGATCTCTGTGAGCCCACGCCATCCCCGTGGCAGGCTCCCAGAGACATCCAGATAGGAGGGATATTGGAGGAACCCTGACTAGGGATTGGGACACGTTCCATGTGGGAATACAGATCCAGCCCCTCCCAGTCCCTCCATCCTGCAAAGAGGGAAAGACGCCACCACCAAGCCCCAAGGCCAGGGTGTCAGGACACTCAGATTCTAACCCCACCTCACGTTTGCTGGTTTGTGCTCATTACCCCTTAGTTTCCTGATCAGTTTCCTCGTCTGTCAGTGAGACTAGACTCTTGGACTGGATCGGTGGATTTTACATGGAGCTTCCTGGGGCTCTGGGGACCTCAGGGACTATCTTGGAGGCACTGATGCCTTTGAGAGTGGAGTCTTTAGTACAGGACCCCACTCAACTCTTTTTCTATGCTTTACATTTTGGGTCTCTGTGTAAGATTTTGCTTGAAAAAAATGATTTCATGGTCTAATCACTTAAAAAATTTTTTTCCCCTTTATTGATTTTAGAGAGAGAGGAAGTGAGAGAAAGAGAGAGACAGAAACATTGATGAGAGAGAACATCGATTGGCCGCCTCCTGCATGCCCCCCACTGGGGATCAGGCCCACAACCTGGGCATGTGCCCTCACCGGGAATTGAACCGGCAACCTCTTGGTGAATGGGTCAATGCTCAACCACTGAGCCACACCGGCCGGACAGTCTAATAATTTTTTTTTTTTTTTTAATCACTGGGTTAGGTGATATTTCAGTAAATTTCTGATGCTGAAATTCCGTGGCTCTTGTGGGAGGTATAAGATGTGGACAGCAAGGCCACACCAGAAAGGGCCTTGCAGACCAAGGCTGTTTCAAACAAGCACATGCTATGGTTATGGGTGAAGGGGATGGGGGTGTGCACGCCATGACCAAGCTGGACAGAAAGGTGAGTGTGCATGGCAATGCCTCAGGGGTCACCACGGGTGCTGGACACTTGGGTGGAAGGGACAGGCCTGGTCCTGTTGCCCAGTACCATCCAGACAGCACCCTTGCTCTCCGAAGATGGAATCCGGATCCCCCGGTCCCGGGACCCGCGCCCATGGTATTCCTCGGAGCTGATGAACAACTTTTCAGAGAGGCAAATCGAACTGTCCAGATCCCCATTAACCTTAGACTACCTTCATTTCAACAAGCTTCTATGATTTCCCTCAGTTTTTGAAAAGGAAACGAGGCAAAATAGAAGGGTGAGGAATAGTAATTTTTTAAAATCCTCTCCCGAGGATATTTTTACATTTATCTTCAGATAGAGTGGGAGGGAGGGAGAGAGAGAGAGAGAGAAGCATCGATGTGAAAGAGACACCTTAATTGGTTGCCTCCTGCACGACCCCAACTGGGACCAACCACAACCAAGGTATGTGCCCTTGGTTGTAATCGAACCCGGGACTCTTTGGTCCACAGGCCGAAGTTCTAACCACTGAGCCAAACCAGACAGGGCTAAGGATATGTTTTTATTGATTTTTAGAGAGAGAGGAAGATTTTGCTTGAAGAAAAGTTTTGATGGTCTAAAAGTATTTTTAAATTTGAGGAAGAGAGAAACACACACACACACACACACACACACACACACACACACACATCGATATAAGAGAGAAACATTGATAAGTTGCCTCCAGTAAGTGCCCCGACCAGGGATCAAACCTGCAAACTAGGTGTGTATTGCCCTGACCTGGAATCAAACCCACAACCTTTTTGATGCACGAACGACACTCCAACAACTGAGCCACCTGGCTGGGGTGGGTGAGGAATAGTTAGGTTGTGCATAAAGGCAGCTCATCCTAAGAAATAAGCTTATAAAAAGGTGGCTTGGCCCTGGCCGGTTTAGCTCAGCGGTTAGAGCGTCGGCCTGCAGACCAGAGAGACTCAGGTTCGGTTCCTGCTAAGGGCACGTACCTCGGTTGCAGTTTGTCCCCGACCCCAGTTGGGGTTGTGTGGGTGGCAACCAGTCGATGTGTCCCTTTCACGTCGATGTTTCTCTCTCTCTCTTCCTCCCTCTCTCCCCCTCACTGTATCTGAAGATAAATGCAAAAATGTCCTTGGGTGAGAATAAAAAAAAAAAGATGGTTTAGGCGGGACCCTCACCCCTGTCGCATCCCCTGCGGGCCGGGCCAGACCTAACCATTGCTGCCCTCAGGGGTGCAGGGCTGACCCCGGGAGCAGGCTGGCCCACATCTCAGGAGGCAAATGGACCAAACGTCCCTGAGGGGCTCCGAGCACTGCTCCTCAGTCTCTCTGGGGATAATGTCCCCCGCATGGGGTGGGCCACTTTTTTTGCTTAATGGCAAAGAGAGAAGACTTGAGGGGGTGGAGAAGCGGCTGGCCTCACTCCATGGCCTCGGCAGGAACAGGGACTGGTCCTGGGGAGGGTGGAATGAAGCCAGTTGAAGAGAACGCCAGGTCTCCTTGCAGAGCTTCTCCCCCGCCTCCAACTCCCAGCAGCCTCACTCCTGCTCATTTCCCCGCAGGGACCAGGTTGGAAGGAAGAAATGGTGGTGCACTCACGTGAGGAGGATTTAGTCTTGGCCCCTAGGACGATGGTGATGAGGAGGAGGACGACGAGGAAGAAGGAGATGACAGCCACGGAGAGCTTCATGCTCCTGCGGACAGAGCCACTGCCGGAGGAGAGCTGGCCTGGCTGGGGCTTCCGAGGCTCCGGGCTGAGGAAGTGTTGAGAAATGATTACTGAGGCAGAACATCCTTTAAAGAAAGGGAACTAAGATTTCAGAGGGAAGTAGAAAGCAGTGGACGCCTCAGCGATTTTGCATCCTGCACACTCATTGAGGGTGGAGCGAAGGAAGCAGGCAGAGTCAGGATTTCAGGAGGGAGATGGCCTTCGATCCCCAGTGGGAACACATGTAACCCTTTGCTACGAGCCCTCCATTGGGTGTGGACCATGAGCACAGGGGCTGGGGGGCGGGGCCACCGTCTCAGACTTGGCAAAGGATCTCAAGGCTGGGACGCGTCCTGTGCCCAGGTCCAGTTCCAGGCCTCAGAACAAAGCTCCTTCTGCTCATCTGAAGATCAGAGGAGATTTTGGGGTAACAGGATGAGGTCTGGAGGACTCTCTTTTTTATATTCTCACCTGAGGACATTTTTCCATTTTTTATTCAGATAGAGTGGGAGGGAGAGAGAGGGAGAGAGAGAGGGAGAGAGGGGGGGGGAGAGAGAGAGAGAGAGAGAGAGAGAGGGAGAGAGAGACACGTCGATGTGAAAGGAACAAATCGAGTGGCTGCCTCCTGCATGACCAACCAGGGCCGGGGATAAACTGCAACCAAGGTACATGCCCTTAGCGGGAACCGAACCCAGGTTTCTCTGGACCGCAGGCCGACGCTCTAACCACTGAGCCAAACCGGCCAGGGCTAATTAGTTTTTTTAATACAAATTTTAAGCACTTTTTTTTCTAGCTATTTTGCACAATTTCCAAGATTTTTAGTTTTACGAAATCAAGTTTGCTTGTCAGACTTGTTTAACCATATTTACACTTCCTCCAGTTGTATATTTCTTTTATAATTAAGCAACTTGGATAAGTAACTTTCATCACGAAAAAAATAAAATACCAACACAAGTCAAGAACTGGCCTATTTTGTTGTTTTTCCTCAAAAAGACAAAGGTTTATTTTTTCCAATTACTTGAATGTATTTATTTTAGGTTGCTGAGAAAATATCTGCTTTTTATCAAAGTGACTAAAGTCAAGAGTGAGAGTTCCTCTTCCGACGTCCACCTCTCCGTGCAGTGTCAGTGTTACTTGGGAATTTTTAGAAATGCTGATTCTATTGTCATTATTTGCAGATGACATGATACTGTACATAGAAAACCCCAAAGACTCCACCAAAAGCTTACTAGACTTAATAAATGAATTTGGCAAAGTAGCAGGATACAAAATTAACGTCAAGAAATCGATAGCATTCTTATACACCAATGATGAACTCACAGAAAGAGAAACTAAGCAAACAATCCCATTTACCATTGCGGCAAAAAAATTAAGATACCTAGGAATAAACTTAACCAAAGAAATAAAGGACCTATTCGCAGAAAACTACAGGTCTTTAAAAAAAGAAATAGAGCAAGATGTAAAAAAGTGGAAGCACATACCCTATTCATGGATTGGGAGAATTAACATCATTAAAATGTCCATATTACCCAAAGCAATCTATAGATTCAACGCAATCCCCATCAAAATACCAACGGCATACTTCACAGAATTAGAACAATTACTTCAAAAGTTCATATAGAACCAAAAAAGGCCTCGAATAGCCACAGCAATCTTGAAAAGGAAGAACAAAGTTGGAGGGATCACAATACCAGATTCCAGGTTATACTACAAAGCCACCATAATCAAAACAGCCTGGTACTGGCACAAGAACAGGTATATAGACCAGTGGAACAGAATAGAGAACCCAGAAATGGACCCAAGGCAATTTGCTCAATTAATATTTGACAAAGGTGGCAAAAGCATACAGTGGAGTAAGGACAGCCTCTTTAATAAATGGTGCTGGGAAAATTGGACAGCTACTTGCCGAAAAATGAAACTAGATCATCAACTTACACCCTACACCAAAATAAACTCAAAATGGATAAAAGACTTAAATGTAACTCATGAATCCATAAAAATCCTAGAGGAGACTGTGGGCAACAAAATCTCAGACATCATACGCAGCAGAATTTTTACTGACACATCACCTAAGGCAATAGAAACAAAGGAGAAAATGAACACATGGGACTACATCAAACTCAAAAGCTTCTGCACAGCGAAAGATACAATCATCAAAACAGAAAGGCTACCCACTGTATGGGAGAGCATAATTGCCAATGATATATCAGATAAGGGGTTAATTTCCAATACATATAGAGTGCTCATACAACTCCACAAAAGGAAGACAAAGAATCCAATTAAAAAATGGGCAGAGGAACTAAATAGACACCTCTCCAAACAGGACATACAAATGGCTAAGAGACATATGAAGAAATGTTCATCATCACTAATCATCAGAGAGATGCAAATCAAAACAACAATGAGGTATCACCTCACACCTGTCAGAATGGCCGCCATCAACAAATCATCAAACAAGTGTTGGCGAGGGTGTGGAGAAAAGGGGACTCTAGTACACTGTTGGTGGGAATGCAGACCGGTGCAGCCACTATGGAAAACAATATGGTGTCACCTCAAAAAATTAAAAATTGATCTCCCATTTGACCCAGTGATCCCACTTCTAGGAATATACCCTACGAAGCATAAAACACCAATCAGAAAGAATATATGTACCCCCATCTTTGTAGCAGCATTATTTACAATCGCTAAGATCTGGAAACAGCCCAAGTGCCCATCAGTAGACGAATGGATCAAAAAGCTGTGGTACATATACACAATGGAGTACTATGCAGCGGTAAGAAAGAAAGATCTCTTATCCTTTGAGACTACATGGAGGGACCTGGAAAGTATCATCCTAAGTGAAACAAGCCAAACAGAGAAAGACAAATTTCATATGATCTCACTGATTTGTGGAATATAATGAACATAACAGTTTGAGGAATGGGGTAGTCCCAGAGACGCGGAAGCGGGGTACAGACTGACAATCCCCTAAGGAGTGGGGAGGTGGGAGAGGGATGAACCACAGAACTTATACGCATGTTTGCATGAACAGTGGACATGGACAACAATCTGGGGAAGGGGTAGAGAGGGAAGGGGGAGGGGGGAATCAGTGGGGGAAAAAAGGAGAATCATCTGTAACAAAAATTAATCAATAAAAAAAAAATGCTGATTCTTTGGCCCCACCCAATCCTACTGAATCAGAATTTCTGGGGCTGGCACCCAGCAATCTAGTTTAACCAGCTTCCAGGTGATTTTTATGCATGTAAAGCTTCAAAAGCCCTGATCTCTACAGGTATACCTCATTTTATTGCACCTCACGGATGTTGTGCTTTTAAAAAATTGAAGACATGCCCAGCCGGTGTGGCTCAGGGGTTGAGTGTCAACCCATGCACCAAGAGGTCGCCAGTTCTATTCCTGGTTGGGACACATGCCCAGGTTGTGGGCCCAATCCCCAGTGGGGGGCATGCAGGAGGCAGCCAATCGATGTCCTCTCTCATTGATGTTTCTATCTCTCTCTCCTTCTTCCTTCCTCTCTAAAATTAATAAAGAAAAAAAGAAAGAAAGAAAGCATGACCCTCCACCAGCATTGCAATGGTCTGGAACCGAGCCCGCAGTACCTCCGAGGTTTGCCTGTAGCACAGCTCCGAACTGGTATGCCCCCAAATATCGGTCTCTTCAGCCCTTGGGCAGCCTGGCTGGGGCCTGGGGAGGCCTGAGCCCCAGCTGGTTGCCTTCAACACAAACTTCATCATTTTAATCCAGTGTTGCATAATTGGAGGTTCAGTAATGAATTAGATATGATTCTTACACACAGATGTCATATCGTATTCTTATTTTCATTCTTCTCTATACATTGAAATATTCTTAAAGGGCAGGGACCTGGTTTGTTTTGTTCTCTTAGTTTTTCTAATGTCTGCAGAGTATAACGTGAAGCCATCACTCAATAATTATCTGTTTGAGGGACAATGAACATGTTTCAGGATTCCAGAGAAAGGGAGGTGGGTGCTCTGGCTGGGATAGCAAGGGAAGGTTTTATGGCAGCACCTGGATCGAACCTTGTGGGTTGGGTTGAGTTTTGCTGAGAGGAGTTGAGAGGAGGGGCGTTTCTGGCAGACGCACTGCAGAAAACAAGAGAAACAGAACATGCTGTTTTTGAGGAACTGTGAAAATAGAGCAGGAGATTCTTACACAGTTGACTCAGACATAACATGTCACTGTCTCCTCCAAGACCTTCTATGATTGACAGGTGCTGGGTCAGAAAGGAGAGTCTTGGGAGGTTGTGGGGGAGGGATAAACCACAGAACGTATGTGCATGTGTGCATGAACAATGGACATGGACAACGGGGCTGGGGACGGGGCGGGGAGGGAGGGGGAGGGGGAATCAGTGGGGGGAAAGGAGAAACATCTGTAACAGAAATAAATAAATTAATTAAATAAAAAAAGAAAGGAGAGTCTTGGTTCCCATCCTTTATTTCTGTTCAGCTGCCATTGTCATGACCCAAATCCTTGACTTGGAGACACCTGGCCCTCTGCTATTCACAGTGCTCAGGTGGTCTGTGCTCTGTCTTTCATTCTACTGACCTAACAACTTGATCAGCCAGAGAACCCAGTGAAACCACATACATTGCCCTTGGGTCTAACACAGTTTTAATCCATCAAGTCTTGAACATTTTCCCCAAGGCTCTGAAACAAAATCACTATAGAGAAGCCAAAAGCTACTGTTGCCATCACTCAATCATATATTCCAGGGCTCAGTGGGCTGGTTTTTTTTTTTTTAATCCTCACCCGAGGACATTTCTGCATTTATCTTCAGATAGAGCAAGAGGGAGAGAGGAGGGGAAGAGAGAGAGAGAAACATCGATGTGAGAGAGACACATTGAGTGGTCGCCACCCATATGACCCCAACCGGGGGCGGGGACAAACTGCAACCCAGGTACGTGCCCTTAGAGTGGACCGAATCTGGACTCTCTGGTCCACGGGCCGATGCTCTAACCGCTGAGCCAAACCAGCCAGGACTCAGTGGGCTGGTGTTAACTCCAAGCTTCTGAATTCAACAGAATACAGAGTAGTTATAAGAGCAACAGGCCCTGGCTGGTTTGGCTCAGCAGTTAGAGTGTCGGCCCACAGACCAGAGAGACCTGGGTTCGGTTCCTGCTAAGGGCATGTACCTCGGTTGCAGTTTGTCCTCAGCCCCGGTTGGGGTCGTGTGGGTGGCAACCAGTCAATGTGTCTTTCTCACATCGATGTTCCTCGCTCTCTCTTCCTCCCACTCTCCCCCTCGCTCTATCTGAAGATAAATACAAAATGTCCTCGGGTGAGGGTAAAAAAAAAAGCAAAAAGAAAGGTCACAAATGGGTCAAAGTATAGGCCAGAACCTCGAGCATCTGTGCGTGCCTCTTTCACTTCCCTAAATCCCGTGAAAATAACAGAATATAGATGAAGAAAAAAATAAGTTCATAGAAGCAATCAGGGATCAGAAAAGATGACATCAGCTGACCATAATGTGAGACATTTCTTTTTTTTTTAATCCTCACCCGAGGACATTTTTCTATTTTTTGTACAGATAGAGTGGGAGGGAGAGAGAGGAACAGAGAGAGAGAGAGAGAGAAACATCGACGTGAATGGACACATCGAGTGGCTGCCACCCGCACGACCAACCAGGGCCGGGGACAAACTGCAACCGAAGTACGTGCCCTTAGCGGGAACCGAACCCGGGTCTCTCCGGACCGCAGGCCGACGCTCTAACCGCTGAGCCAAACTGGCCAGGGCGACATTTCTATTCTCTATAAAGGACATATGTCAGATTGAGGGCAAAACACAAAAAGGCTGGAAAAACTTATATCCTCATAGAGGTGAAAGGAGACTATTGAAAAAGCATTTTCTCAACAGGCTCCTGGGTAACAAAGATCAGAGTCAGTGAGTGTTGGGAGAAGCTCGGGTTGAGAGAACAGTCCCCACTTCTGGACGGTCAGGGGCAGGGTTGGCCCCAGGAGAAATCTACAAGCACAGTTCTCTCTATAAGAGGCTGCCTGCCGAGAGTCTTCCAGAGGGGACAATGGGCCAGAAAGAATTGGGCAGTGCCCTGGATAACTTCTGATCAAAGGCTAGAGCCCCACCCCCTCCCCTAGTAACAAAGATCTCTGATAATCTCAGTGAACACCTGACCGGTCCATCACTCCTTCCTCTTCACCTACCAGAGCCAGGGCCCCAGAATCTGCATTTGCAACCGAGGAACTAGGGATTTCCTCTTATGCTGTGAAAAAAGAAAGGCTGAGCTATACTAAGCAGACCCCCTTTACAAGTCCACCAGCTAGCCTCCTACCTGTTTACCCACACCTCCTAAAACGGTGTGTCTAAGTGAGGTCCTGGAACCACCTGCATTAAATCACCTGTGATGCTTGTTTAAATTGTATGTATCTGTGCTGTACCCCTTACCCCCAGCCACCCCACCTCTCCCAAACGACGGAGTGGAAGAAACCTTCCGACACTGTCGTCAAGCCTTCAAAGATGAGCTGTTTGAGTAGCAAGGATGGGATGTACTGGGAATTCCTGTTTAATCTCTTTGGCATTTTATTACAAAGGATATTTGGTTATTGATCAGTTTTTTCCCCCTATTGATTTCTTATGGTAAATAACCCAAAAATGAAGCATAGGTTTTAAACTTTCTTTCTTTCTTTCTTTCTTTCTTTCTTTCTTTCTTTCTTTCTTTCTTTCTTTCTTTCTTTCTTTCTTTTAAATAAAAAAGCTCTATTGTTTAGAATTCAGTGCTTTCTTCTGAGTTTTATGAGACAGTTGTCCGAGATTTACTAATTATAAATATAAATGCATAGGCTTTAATAGATATGAATATATAATTGATATTAACTCTAACTTAAAATATTTTTCTTAATGTCCTTTAACTTTCAAGAAGATGTCTTTTTAGGAAATCAAACAGAATAAGGCAGCAGGATGACTGCATGCCTTCAGTTATGTTGTCTGGAAGGCACCCCAGGACCCCTTACATCTCTGGGGGAAATGAACTTCTGATCGGTGTTCTATTTACTAGTGATCAGGCCCCAGACTTTGTGAGACTACATGCTCAGTCGCCCATTTTTGTCCAGCATAGATGCAAATGTTTTTTTTTTTTTTTCAGTAGAAAAGATAATTCCAAACTTACACTTATATTGCAATATTGGATATTACTGTGTTTCTCTAAGTTAACCAACATTTCAGAATGCCAACCCCAATGAACTGTATGAATCTCTGTTCCTCAGATGATCTTAGAATCAGTTTTATGGTTCCCTCACTAGTGGGTTAAGTATGTCTTTGACACATAATCAATCTGTATTTGAATGAGTTATGTTTTAGCTTATTAAAAATTATACCACGAGCCCTGGCCGCTTTGGCTCAGCGGTAGAGCGTCGGCCCACGGACCAATGAGTCTCGGGTTAGATTCTGGCCAAGAGCACGTACCTCGGTTGCGGTTCGTCCCCAGCCCTGGTCGGGGTCGTGCGGGAGGCAACCAGTCGATGTGTCCCTCTCACATCGATGTTTCTCTCTCTCTCCTTTTCTCCCCCTCCCTTTCCCTCCCACTCTATCTGAAGATAAATAAAAAAATATCCTCGGGTGAGGATTAAAAAAAAAAATTATACCACAATGTCTCATTTTGAAAAAAACCACAACTCTGAAGTTCAGCAATTCCTATGTTTCTTTTTCTTTTGAAGTTCAAATAAAAAAACTTTTTATTAGTGCATAGCTTTTATAACCAGAACAGAAGAGTAACTGTTGCTTTTGAAAAAATAATTCAGGCCAAGGAACTCCCAGACGAGGTCCGGGGAAAGAAGGTGGGTGGCTGCCACCGAGCGTTCTTCTTTTTTTGCAGGATCTTTATGCAACGCTGAACTGTCCTGTCCACGGGGTTGACACAGACCTGCTGCCCTGTCATGGTGATGAAGCTGGGGAACAAGAGGGAGAAAGATTACACAGTGAAAAGGGTTCTGCAAATAAAAATGGGGAGCCTTATCCTTCCGGCCCCCCAGATTCCCCACTCAGCCCAGCTTGTTCCCTCCTCTCTCTGCTGCAGGAGCTCAGGTGTCTCCTCTCTGAGACCCTTCCTCGGCCTCTGAGACTCCCTTAGTGACTCATGGGAGTTTCCTGGGCAGACCTGCTCCTGCTCTCTCCTTCCTTCCCCAGCCTTTCTCTTCACTGGGAGCATCTTGTATCCGATGCTCTGCAGGATCCTAATGAGGGCACAAGCCTTCCCTGACCTCGCAGGGTCCAGAGGGTGGGACTTTGCTGAACATGCATCCACCACCAGCTCTCCCTTCCCAAGACATGGCCGGTACGCTTGGCACTTACATGATAGCAGGCAGGCGGCACATAAGTCTTTCAATGTAATCTTTCATGAATATGCATCGGATTTTTTGTCTGGTGTAGGAGATGCAGCAGTCAGTAGGACGGTGAACACCTGCAGTGAAAGAAGGGCGATTTAAGGATCAAGTCTCTTTTTGAGGAAAACTAGATCCTTTCCTCCTTTGCTCCGAAGTGCTGGGGCGGGTGAGAAGGTGCAGGACTCAAAAGGGTGTTTTCCTTCTCTGCAGCACCTGCTGGCATCTCCTTGCTTCCTTCTCCTCAGGGCTGAGCTGTGTGTCTGAGGGCACCCAGGCAGGGCCACAACGGGGCCAGGACCCTTCTCCCAGAAGTGGAAGGGTCTGATGCCTGCAGGAGGCGTCCGAGAGCACTCTCTCCTCCAGGTGAGCCTTCTCCAGGGCTGCCCGGTGGAAGAGAGGTCATCTATGGAGGTGGGACCCTTAGCACATTCTGTGGTTCTTTGGAGATGTTCCTTCCCCTTTCCTCAAGCCCTGTAAACAAGGTGGATTGAAGCCACTCCGCAGATCTGTACCCACCCACTGCTTTTTTTTTTTTTTTAATCCTCACCCGAGGACATTTTTCCATTTTGTATTCAGGTAGAGTGGGAGGGAGAGAGCGGAAGAGAGAGAGAGAGAGAAACATCGATGTGAAAGGAACACATCGAGTGGCTGCCACCCGCACAACCGACCAGGGCCGGGGACAAACTGCAACCGAGGTACATGACCTTAGCGGGAACCGAACCCGGGTCTCTCAGGACCGCAGGCCGATGCTCTAACCGCTGAGCCAAACCAGCCAGGGCCACCCACTGCTTTTAAATATCTGCCATTACTAAACGTTTACCTGCTGCTGGTAGTATTAAGTCTGGCCGGAACATCTCATCCATGGATTCTATTAGAGAGAAACAGACAAAGAGGGAAGATCCCCGGCTCTCTCTGTCTCCATCTCTGTCTGTCTGTCTGTCTCGGTCTCTCTGCCTCTCCCTTCCTTCTTCCCTCCCTCTCTTCCACTCGATCTAAAATTCAGTGGAAAAATATCCTCGGGTGAGGATTAACAACAACAAAAAAAGATAAAGCAGAGTGTGACCAAAGCTATAAGAACAGTCAACATGCTATTAGGTTCAGAGGAAGAACAGAAGATGTGCACTTTAGCCCAAACTGGTCAAACATTAACTGCTTTCAAATGTACAGTGAAGGACATTCACACATGGTACTAGCCATACCACAGTCTATCCATGGAACTTTTTTCATCTTGCAAAACTGAAATTCTGTACCCATTAAACAATCACTGTTCATTCCCCCTCCCCCAGCCATTCTGCTGCCACTGTTCTGTCTCTGATTTGGCCTACTTTAGGTACCTCGCACCAGGGGACTCATATAGTGTTTATCCTTTTGTTCCTGCCTCAGCTCATTTATCAAAATGTGGGGTATAGACCTCTCTTCAGCGTTAAATGATAGTTTTACACTACATGGAATATAATAGTTCTAAAATTGTAGGATTCTATGCTTTTTCAAATTTACAATTTTACTACAGTTCTTTTGATGTAGCACATAATGGTCCTATATCAGCTAAGAGAAGGTATCAAATAATTCTGGCCATGAAAAGAAAGAATTGTTTCCCAAGTCACCTGTATACAGTTTTCCCAGAGGCCAAAACTGCAGAGAGAGGTCTATACCCTACTGCTGCTGCTTTTAGACAAGTGCCAAACTCACTTCCATGATGCAGGAGGACAAAGGGGTCCTTCTGTGTCTCTTCTCCGACTGCAAGTTACCATCAAACTGGCCACCAGTGAGAAGGTTCACTGAACTCACCAAGGGTCTGGGATCTGAGGGGCTGGGACCCATGGGCCAGGGATCCAAGGGCAGCAGCAAGGATGAGGAAGGAGAGGGCAGCCGTGGAGATTTTCATCTTCCAGGTGTGCAAGCTCTCTGAGGACTTCTGGGCTCTCTGCTTCCTGACTCCCTGGCACTTCAGCTCTGCCCTCGTATTTATAAGAAGAAGAGGATCAGGAAGTCACAGGGCAGAGGTCAGCATGCTGCTCTTTGCCTATACAACTGACAGCATGATATTTCTAATAAGGGAACAAGTCTGGGAGTGCAACAGGAAGTTGAGGGCATGGGATTTTCCAGCTGCCAGTGGATATAGGCAAGAGTGTCAAAATGATGACAGAAACATTAGCCAAGACAGGAATCTGGGGACCCTGTGGGAGTTCTCACATCCTACATGGGTGATGAAAGCCCTGCAGGAAGAACTCTTAAGTTTACAACGGATCTCTATGGTTACAATAGCCCCATCCCCTTAACTCCCTCTTCCCCTCTGTCAAAGAACTACCTTCTTTTTGCTCTCTCTCTGTAAGTATCATGTCCACATGTACCAGACTGCAATCCTTACTTTTCCCCAATTAAATCCTTTTTGTGGAGGTAATACCTAGTCGACTTTTGTTTATGGTAGACAAGAGTGACCGTATTTTATTCAGGATCCTTTCTCTAAGAGATTTATTTAATCCTCCAAGTCAGAGTTTCCTCTTAGGAGGCAACCATCTTTCTTTCTTTTCTTTTTCTTTATTAACTAATTAATTTTTGTTACAGAAGTTTCTCCCCACCCAGACACCCTCTTCCCGATCCCCACTCCCCACCCCCAGCATTGTTGTCTATGTCCACTGGTTACGCATATATGCATATAAGTTCTTTGGTTTATCTCATCCATCCCCCCATCACCCCTCCTCTGAAGTTTGTCAGTCTGAACCATACTCCTTTCTATGTCTCTGGGTCTAATTGTTTTTTCTTTTTGGTTCTCTGATTGGGTGATTTTTTTCTACCCTGTATTCTAATTCACTGATCCAATCCTCGGCTTCCTCTGCTCTGCTGGTTATTCCTTCCAATGTGTTCTTTATTTCTGCTGTGTCAGTCTTCATTCCTGCTTGGTGGTTTTTCATTTCCAATGGTTGATTTTCAGTTTCTATATCTTTACTCATGCTGTTGAGCTTCCTCATAATCATTACTCTGAACTTGGCCCCTGATATCTTGCTTAACTCCATTGATTTCTTCTGTCGAACTCTCTTGTTCTTTCATTTTGGATTTGTTTCTTTGTGTCACCACTTTCGCTGTCTCAGTCAGTTTTGGAGTTCCCTGTGGGTGTTGGTGTTCCGCTGTTTGTGTCTCCCTCTACTCGGTTTGGATGAGTGTGGGAGGACCCATGTTAAACACCACTGTCAAGTCTTACTTTCCTGGGTAGATTTGTAGGCCAAGCAGAGGTTCAGTTGTCCTCTAGCTTTTGCCTGCAGGCTATTAGTCTCAGTTACTTGATGAGCCTCGGGTTGTAGCCCTCAACTGAACGAAAAATCTCTCAGGTGTACAGGGTAAGAGAATTTCCGGTGGGTGGGACAATTGCTTTCTGGTAGCCTCTAGCTGTTAATGAGCCTCATTTGCATTTCTCTGGCCTGGCTGGGTAGAGTTAAATTCTGGAGGGAGGAGCTATTGCTTCTCCCCAGGGCTCTGGGAAGGGGCTCTTTGAGTAAATGGCTACTATCCTTTGAGGGAGTGATTCAGCATAAAATTCCAGGTGTCCTCCATCCCAGCTCTCTCCCCTAAGCCATCAACACCCAACTTTCTTCACAGAATTCCAGTTCAGTCCAAACCTCCCTCTGCCAGAGCCCAAGGTGAGTGTCTGTAGCTGATTTAGAGCTCTGGCCCTTCAGAGCCTTTTCCCCTTGTGCCTCTCCTGGCCAGGCAAAGCCTCAGCTCTGGTGCTCTCAACCAGGGGTTATGCAGGCACCTTTCCCTGTCCCACAACTCTGTGCTGTGGAGCTGGCTTGGGGTTTTAAACCCTGACTTCTCAGAGGAAACTGCTCACTGCTAAAACAGCCCCTAGCTGTTGTCCGTGGGCTCCCAGCCCGTCCTCTTGCGCCTCTGCAGTTCCTACCAGGCTCCATTTGGAGTCCTCTTTCTGTCCCCGGTTATAAGGCTTCTCTCCAGCTGCTTTTCAGTTAGTTTTTCCCGATGATTTGTCTTAATTTTAGTTGTAATTCCAGTTTGGTCCTGGGAGACAGTCTGTGTAGCTTCCATTTACTCTGCCAACATTTTTTTCTCTCCCCAACCATTTTTCAAGTGCACAAAGAGCCTATTACCAGGGGTGCCCACTGGAGGGAATGCCCTAATGTGTGAACCTGGTTGTGTGGTTCCTCACACAGAATTTTTTTTTTATTGTTAATCCTCATAAAATTATTTTTCCATTGACTTAAAATTTTTTTGTATTAATTTTTTAGAGAAAGAGAGGAAGGAAGAAAGAGATAGAAACATTGATGTGAGAAACATTGATCAGCTGCCTCCTGCATGCTCCCTACTGGGGATCGAGCCCAAACCCAGGCATGTGCCTTGACGTGGAATCAAATTGGGACCCCTCAGTCCATGGGACGATGCTCAATCCACAAACCATGCTAGCCAGGCTCTACTGATTTTTTTTAGATAGAGAGGAAGAAAGAGAGAGAAACATTGATGTGAGGAAGACACATTGATTGATTACCTCCTGAATGACCCTGACTGGGGCCAGGGATCATACCTGCAACCCAGGTACATGCCCTTGACTGGGAATCAAACCCACAACCCTTTGCTCTGTGGAGCCGACATTCTAACCACTGAGCCAAACCGGCCACAGTCTCACATAGAATCTTGATTCTTAACTCCTCTTTGTTTCACACCCTACATCCAACCCATGAATGAATAATGTTGGCTCTACTTTCAAATATATATCCAGCATCTTATTCCTCACCACCTCCACTCTCTCCACCTGGTGCAAGCCACCTTGTCTTTCACTGGGATGCTTGCAAAAGCCTCTAACTTTTCTCCTTAGCCTGCCCTTGCCCCTCTTCAGTTCATTCTCCACGCTGTAGCCACAGTGAACCCATCAAAATATAAATCGGATCAATTCAATCATGTTTGAAACCCTCCAATGGCTTTTTAATCCCACTCAATGTAAAATCCAACCCTTATAATAAATTATAAGCCTCCACGTGATCTGGTCCCTGTTCACTGTCACGAATGTCCTGCTACTCTTCTCATTCTGCTTGTTATGCAGGCTGACTCAGATTTCTGTTCCCTCTGCTTGGATCACTCTTCCCTCAAATCTCCATACTACTTTCCGCCTAACCTCCTTCAGCTCTTTACTCAAATGTTATCTTTTCAGGAAGTCTTTCTAGGACACTCTATATAACATTATAATCTCCCCTGCCCGGTTTTCTTTAATTTTCTCTTCACACTTAACACTATCCAACATACTACTTATTTTACTTCTAAACCTCTTAATGGCTGTCTCTTCTTCTAGAACATAAACTCCGTGAGAGCAGGGATTTTTTTGTATCTCTGTTCACTGTGGCTTCCCTAGTGACTGGCATATGATAGAGTCTTATCTTAGTTTAGGTTCCCCTGAAGGCAGAGCATGAAAACAGTTGGGTGAGGCTAGATAATTTGAAGTATTCCCAGGAGCATGAGTGAGGGACTGGACAAGTTGGGGCAGGGGGATTAGTACTTGATTCTGCTGGGATTTGTTTGAAAAGCCTATGAATGCATCTTAGAATGTTTTGCCTGGAGAAGAAAGGTGAAGCATTTATCTCTTGGCTTTCATCCCTGTGGCACTTTATTTTTATTTATTTATTTATTTATTTATTTTTTAATCCTCACCCGAGGATATTTTTCCATTTATCATCAGAGTGGGAAGAAAGGGGGGGGGAGAGAGAGAGAGAGAGAGAGAGAGAAACATCGATGTGAGAGAGACACATCGACTGGCTACCCTACAAACAACCCAACCAAGGCCAGGGTTGAACCACAACCGAGGTACGTGCCCTCGACTGGCATGGAACCTGTGACTCATTCATCTGCAGGCCAATGCTCTAACTGCTGAGCCAAGCTGGCCAGGGCCCTATGGCACTTTAAAATATGGCCACAACTTTTTTGACACTCCTCTCATCAAACAGTAGGGTCCATGTTTTCTCCTCTTGATATGAAGGGGGCTCGTAACTGTTGTTCAGCCAACAGAGTATGGCATGTGACAGCTGCGGCTAGGTGGTGAAGAGCCATGGAGCTTCGACCTTGATCACTGAACCCTCTCTCTCGGAGCCCTGAGCTACCATGTAAGAAGACGAACTAGCTTGAGGCTGCCATGCGGTGAGGAAGCCCAAACCACACGTAGGTGTTCTGGGAGACAGTCCTGCATGAGCGTAGCCTTCAGGTCATCCCAGCCTAGGTCCCAGGCAGGGGAATGAGGAAGCCTCTAGAACTGCACTGTTCAATATAGCAAATACTGACCACATGTGGCTACTGAGCACTTTAAATGGGGCTAGTCTAATTTGAGATGTTCTAAAAGTACAAACTACACACTGGGTTTCAAAGATTTAGTAACTTTCTCCCCAAGATCATGTATCTCAACAATTTTTTTTTTTTTTATCCTCACCCGAGGACATTTTTCCATTTTTTGTTCAGGTAGAGTGGGAGGGAGAGAGAGGAACAGAGAGAGAGAGAAACATCGACGTGAAAGGAACACATCGAGTGGCTGCCACCCGCACGACCGACCAGGGCCGGGGACAAACTGCAACCGAGGTACGTGCCCTTAGCGGGAATCGAACCCGGGTCTCTCTGGACCGCAGGCCGACGCTCTAACCGCTGATCCAAACCGGCCAGGGCTCAACAATTTTTTATACTGATTACATGAGAAGTGATCATATTTTTATGTATGGCATTAAAGAAAATATATCATTAAAATTAATTTTATCTGTTTCTTTTTACTTTTTGAATACGGCTGCCAGGAGATTTGGTTACATATGTGACTTGAGTTATATTTATATTGGACAGACTGTTCTAGATGATTTCCCATCCACTGGAGTCACTCCTTGCCATCTGTGTTTTCCCACGTGAGGCCCCAGGCACCATGGACCAGAGACAAGCCATCCCTGCT